GTCCAATTAGGCATCGGTAGCGATACACACAAGGCTGAAGCACTTATTCAAAGCCACCACGAAACCCGATTTTCTCTCTCCCTCACTAATAATTATTCGTCGCGTAGAAAGAACCATATCGTCCGTTCACTGAGACATTTGGCCCAAAACAAGCCCCTGTTTTTCCACCCCCTATCCACAAGCACGTCGCTAAACGCGAAAAAAAAAAGAAAAAAGGGTCGACGGGGAGTACCAGGAGCACGCGTCAGAGCCAACGCATCACGAGCCCCGGTGGAGCGGGGAGTCCATGCAAAATAACGCACCGGCCTTGTTAAAACAAGTTTTCGCGAAGAGCGCGTCCTTCGAAACTGCCCTCCCTCCCCCTCCGAGAGTTCGATGAGTATACCCGTACGTGTATATATATATGTATACCTACAACTTTTCATTGCGCGCTGTTGTTCGAGTACACTCGCGCAGTCAACTATGTATGTATGTACTTACCCGTGTAGCGAGTGGATGGAGGGAAAAGAGCACTCGAGCTATCGAGGTCTTCTCCCGCGCCCTTAACGACCGTACCACGTTGACGAGGAAAAGCAGAGAGAGAGAGAAAAAAAAAAGAAGGAAACCCGACGTCGATACACGTCCAGGCCGATTAGGTACGAAGGCGTATAACGAGTTTCCGGGAAGTTGGCCTCTCTCGCTCTTTACCATCCCATGCTGTTTCGCCGACGCTCCTCCATCAGACTCCTGATAGCCGTTGGTACCTATACGGCGCTCTTTTGCCGCCCCGAGCCTCCTTCATCTCTCCACTTTCTCCTCTCGCTGTTCTCTTCTTCTGCCAGTGCGCCTATTCTTCCTCCCGGCAAATGAAATTTATGTACACGCTAATTAAGTAGGTACAGGTATGTACATCGGTCGGGTGGGTGAATAAGCTCAACAACACAGTTTCTCGCTGATAATTGGAACAATTTCACCTCACCGGGCACCTCCTGTCATTTCATATCGGAGTCGTTGGTATATACAGTCATACTTTCATTAAATTAAGTACAGCTGCATCAATTAATTAGTGAGCCATAATAGCTTCACGGTCCATTGAATGCGTGCAGGGTATGGATTTTTCAGATATACTCAGATTCTTTCTCCCTCTTCCCCCCGCGCTTTATATTGTCGTTCAACTTGTTCTCCTACGCTATTAACTTTTTTCCTCCCTTTCTCGAGTTAATGAATGATTTTACGTTACTTCGAGCAGCTCTAGGGATTTTTCACGGTGTGTTTCAACTTTTTTTTTTTTTTTCATTGAATTTTCTCAATTTACTCTGTGGATTTTATGTGTAGGCACGAGGTAATAATAATATCTTGACCTAGCAGAGTTTTATATGCTGACTTCTTCTACGAATGCGCGTGTTGTGCATAAATAAGTACACCGTATAGCAGGTGGTCGGAGTTTATAAAGTTTTTTAATGAAATTTTTCCAATTTGTACAACTTTCGTCCGCATTACTTAATTTTAGCAAAACATTACGGATGAAATGCACTTTCGTGTTTCGCGATGGATCGATTATGATTGTCATTTGTGAAACGCTTGTAGATATACTCCACTTATAGTAAATGTAAATTAGACTCGTGTTCGATATCGAGAAGTGGTTACCAGACTGTCGTCCAGAAACCAGAAGACCACCAAGATTTTCAAACTTCTCGGAAAAATTGATCTCGAGACTTCCTGGATTTTGTTGGGTGAAATAAAACTGCTCGAAAGACCACGAGGATCATTAAATTTTGTTTCGATATTTTTTAAGGCACCGTTTGTTCCCATCTCGCCTGGAAACTTATCTCACGCGTGCCTAGTGCATTGGAAAACTACAAGTTTTAACTTTTCAGCAATTGTGCACAACCCAAAGAAAATATTCTTGGTTCAAATAAATTTCATTGCGCATAATCAATTGTTGAAAGTAAAAGATCCAGTTAACAACTAAAGAGCATCAGTATGAAAATAAAATGTAACAATTTAGTTTTATGGTAATTAACATCCAGAGAAAAAATATGTACAAGATGTAAAAAACAGTATAACGAATGGATAACTTGCACGTCTCCTTTGCGCTTCGATGGGAATTCCCGTTAATTTGGCTTGCTTTCTTCGAGCAAACAAGTCAAGGTAACCAAGTGCTTGTATTGTTTCGGATATTTGTTGCGAGATGTGTCGAAAATCCAAACTCTTGGATTTGGACTAACGAGAATTGCAGCAACGAGTTAAAAATCGTGTCATCTCGACTAATCGCTCGGCAAACTATCATTTCTCTTCCCTCTTTGCTGTCCCGAAGCATCGCAGGAATGTGCATGATAAAATAGAGAGTAGGGGTAAATGACCCAATTACTGCGCACTCGATGGTAACTGAAAATAAGAAAAACAGACTGAAAATTTTGGGTGCTTGGATATTGTAACACGTAAGGACATAAATAACGTTTAATCCAGAATCATACTTTACATCATGACATTTATAATTGTTTAACTGAGTGACTCTAAACGAATCTAACCTACAAAACTTTGTAGTCGTGCGTAGTAATTGGTGCGCAGCAATTGGGTCTAGGGCTTCAGCATGAAAAGCTTATGGGAGATACCCGCGCAGTAATTGGGGGCTCAGCGACTGGTGCTAATTTTATAACCGTGCGCAGGAATACCAGCAAGGGATATCAGCACTAAAATAATTATTTAAAAAAAAAAAAAAAATACAGAAACATAAAGCATTTTTCGTTAATAAAATGATCTTTTTTATTTCAGGAATGATAGCCTAATGCAACAGTCAATTTGTTTTCTTAACATGTTACATTATTAAAAAAAATATTCACTGATCAATCTTATTACAGAGACCACCCCTGTATTGTAACTGAAACTATCTTTAGTATATATGTTTTGTACAGGCTTATTTATAATCCATCCTGTTTATTCATTTCACGCTGACAATGGAAATGCATTGAAACAGTAGGAAAATCGTGTGGGGGAAAGTAGAGGGGGAGGGGCGAAGAAATTGTGCAGAGGGACTTTCCAGTGGAAAGACAGTGAACGGCAGTGTGGGGAGAAGGGGCTGGATCCAATACTTATTGGGTTAATAGAACGTAGAAATAAGACGAGTTTTACCTTAATTTCTTGGGGGGGCGGTGGGTGATCATTTGAAGGTGGTGAGGAGAAGTAAAAGGGCAGTGGAGAGGTTATGTAGAATGCTGCAAACAATAAACTATATAACGTAGGAGGATATATGAAAAACACAAGTAGTTGGTATTCTATATAGTTGCTTTTACTATGTTCAGTACATCCCAGTTCTCCCAGAGATGAGTAAAGAGATTGCTAACGCCAATGCTACGATGCGAGACGAGTTTTTGGCACTGATTGGAGCGCCCCGCTACGGCCAGCCGTCGAACCGGGCGCACATCTTACTACTCGTATCGGATAGCGTGCGCCTAAGGGAAGAGGAGTGGATTCGCGTGGAAATGATCATGTAGGCGCACATTTTGGAGAGACGTGGAAGGGGTATACCGAATGTGTGTCTACGAGAAGAGGAGTAGAATTATTGAATATAGCCATATATCTGAGCACACAGCCAAAGCAAGCGACGACACGAGTTTTTCTCTTTTGACTGCAACCGAGTATATGCTGTACATATATTTTTTTCAAACTGACTCTTGCTCTCTTGTTTTTTTTTCTTTTTCCCCTACTTTTAATACTTATTTTGAAAAAAAATTTCAATTATTTTTTTAAGGATGGCAGTTCAGTTATAGTTCCTAATTTATTATTTTTCTTCATAATTGTTATGAACTGTAGGATAAGCTCCGGAGGTTACTAATGAACATACGTAGCTTTCGGAGGATCAAAGTTTTGGTAGCTAAGTTGAATGATGTTTATGTGGCCGCTCGAATTGTTTTGCTTTCACGCGATCGATTCCAACTTTGTGCAGATTTTTTTTTTAATGTAGCTCATCGTTCTGGTTAAATTTATTTTATTTATGTCTTATTTAAATTTATAAATAATGTTGTTAACTTTTTTTTTGATACGTTGAAATAAGTACATTTTTTATACTAAATGTATTCAATAATTTAGTAAGTTAATACTTCTTGTTGGCAAGACCATTTCGCAATTTCATAATAATAGAATAAATTTCTTAAGATGTAAGTATGATTTATACATTTTAAAACTCATGAGCAATTAGAAACATCTAATAAAAGAGTTAATAATCAATAATTGAAAAAAAAATGTTTAAACTTAGCTACTGAAACTTTGATCCTTAGAAATCTGAAAGCTACGTATAATCATTAATATTCTCTGGAGCTTATCCTACAGTTCATAACAATTATGAGGAAAAATAATAAATTAGGAATTAAAACTGAACTGCCATCCTTAAAAAAATAGTTGAAATTTTTTTTAAAAATAAGTATTAAAAGTAGGGGAAAAAGAAAAAAAAACAAGAAAGCAAGAGTCAGTTTGAAAAAAATATATGTACAGCATATACTCGGTTGCAGTCAAAAGATAAAAACTCGTGTCGTCGCTTGCTTTGGCTGAGTGCTCAGATATATAGCTATAGTCAACATTTCTACTCCTCTTCTCGTAGACACGAATTCGGTATACCCCTTCCACGTCTCTCCAAAATGTGCGCCTATATAATCATTTCCACGCAAATCCACTCTTCTTCTCTTAGGCGCACGCTGTCCGATACGAGTAGTAAGATGTGCGCCCGGTTCGACGGCTAGCCATGGTGGGGCGCTCCAATCAGTGCCAAAAAGTTGTCTTGCATCGTAGCATTGGCGTTAGTAATCTCTCTACTCATCTGTGGTTCTCCATATAGAAATATTCAGCTTTTTTAAAATCAAATATCTATTCTACCGTACAATAATGGTTCCTAGGACTTTTTCTGCAGAAGAAGTTCTTAACGAGCCTCTTATAAAAAGTTTTGTTTATTTTAATTACCTTTTAAATATTTTAAATTAAAAACAGCTTACTAAATCAACGAATTAACGATACAACAAATATTACAGAAGATGACTGCAAATATAACAGGATTTGCAACAAAAGCAATCCATGCAGGACAAGATCCACTTCAATGGAGTCATCGTGCCGTCGTGCCACCAATAGTTATGTCAACAACGTTTCAACAAGATGCTCCAGCTAAACACCAAGTATGTGTGTAATTAGACTTTTTAATGGCATAAAAATAGTATTATTTTACGTACACTATTGAAAAAAAAAATTGTCAACGACGATGATACGACGAACATTGTTTCGAATTTTCTTTACCTGACTGTACCAGAATTTTATTTCATAAATAACTATTACCATGTAATGAAATTATGTCATTTTTTTATTCAACTAAGTGATGACGCTGTGTTTATTAAAAATTTACACGGTTCTCGCTTATATACATTTGCTCAACGATGGCTTGCTTTACTTAACTTAAGTGCCATAAATACAAAACTTTGATCTCTAGTTCTTGACTAAGAATATTTTTTTAGATTTTATATAAAGTTTCGAATAGTGCTTCACGTAAAATACTAAAAAAAATTTGGAGAATTCTTTTCTCTAACAGTTTTTTGCTCTACTCAGTAAATTCATAATTATTTCATCAAGCATATTTACCATGCAATTTTGTTCCTACTTAATTAACTTAATATTTCTAGGGGTACGAGTATGGTAGAAGTGGAAATCCTAGCAGAAACTGTTTAGAACGTTGCATAGCAGCTTTAGAAAATGGTAGGCACTGTTTGGTTTACTCATCTGGGCTTGGTACGACAACTTCTCTTATGGCATTACTCAATACTGGCGATCATATTGTATGCAGTGATGATGTTTATGGTGGCACAAATCGCTTTTTTAAAAAATGTTTACCCAGGAATAATATTGATGTCACTTTTGTTGATGCTTGCAATATACCAAAGGTCATTAATTCAATTCAGCCTCACACAAAGGTAACACTGTTTTACATTTTATACGTTAAACACTTTTTGTTCTGTTGCTAAATTTTGTGAACTTATAAATAATTTAAAGTAGTATATTTAATGTTGCAGCGAATATTGTAATTAATCCAAAATAATTAAAAATTTTCAGTGACAAAATTAAAAAAATTATAAAAAAAGAATGTTTCACTTACATTATCAGTTACGTAAGAGTTTGTAATCTCGTTGTTTATTTCCATGCAATCCCATTGATCTAGTTCGGTTTAGACGTTCTTGAAAGAAGTATGGGAAGACCACTAGCATGGACTTGGGCCCTTATCACGCACGTGAAATCTCATTGTCAGGGTCAACAACTAATGTAGCCACGAGCAGGTTTGGATTTAAACTGACCAGTACATTACCCTGACAATCTTTTGTCTTAACATTGCTCCTGAGGAAGCTCCGTTCATACTTTTGAGTTATTGCGGCAATTCCGTTATATCTAAAATCCTCATCCATATCCTAGGGATTAAGTAAGTAGCACCTAAGCATGCATAGTTTCTGCTCCAGAAAAAGGCCGATATCGTCCGTCTTAATCTTTTTGACTCTTCCAGTAGCATCCGTAGTTTTCTATTTTTTCTATACTGCAAATTACTTTGTGTGACATAGTTTCTTGGTACTCTTGTAAGAGATCCCGGTAGGCCCTATCTACTTAGATCTGTTGTGACAACAAAATTTTGAACTCTGATAGAGTATACTGGAAATTAGTTGAGAAAACAAAGATTTCCTCAGTCTTATCTTGATTTCATTCACTTTTGCAGTAAGTCCTTTTTCTGGTCCTCCCTACCAAATGACGTCTTAAAAGATTCGCAAAACGCAGTCCAGTTCACAAAGTCTCATTTATTTGTCCCATAGTAGTGCACTGCTCATTTGAGAAAGCTGCATGGTAGTCCTCCTTAAAGAGTTTGGTAATTTAGGTCCACGTTAACAGTCATGCAGGTGAGCCAGGAAATCCTCGGGATCCTCCCCATGTTTCTCATCAGCGTAACGTTACCATTTACCCTAAAGAGTTTTGACTGTCTTGGCTTATGTGACCTCTTTTTCCTTCTCATTTTCAGTCCGTTTAATCTCTCAGTTGGTGGTATAACCATAAGATCTTCGTACATTAAGAGCCCGAGGGCACATCTATCTCCCAAATCCATATTTTCTCGTCTGTTGAATCTATTCAAGTCACCTTAAATAGTATCAAAGAGCTTTGTACTTCTAGAGAGGTCAAGTTAGCTTAACTCCAATTTTCAGTAGTCTTAAAGCCTTCCCAGTTTCACTACTCTTTGCATCGGTATTTTAGGGTGGGGTTCATTGAGCTGGATCACTCTTTTCGCTTTCCAGTGGCCACGCGCCACCACCGCGTGAACTTGAAATATATACACTTAGCTCATCCTTCAACATACGGAAATCACCTGTTCTGGTAGATGTGTCAGGGTTTGTTCTTCATTGTGCTGTCAGATTTATTAAGAATATCATGCTCCTAGCACATGGCAAAGGCTAGGCTTTGAACTAACAGCCGATAAGTCAAGGCACTCCAGTGTCCTGTATCACTGTTTTATGGTGCTGTATAAAATGCCTACCTGACACTTAAACGGCCTGTACTATTAGTACTAGTGTACAGGGGTAAATAGTAGCTCTAAATTAAATACTGTTGACGCTGTAGGATACGTTATACACTTACCAATTTCCCTACAAGCTACCAGATCGATCATGACACCAGCGCGTTATTGACTAGAGCTAGAGCTTTGTCTTACACAGTTATCATCACTATACACTCCTGCGTACAGCGCCACCTATCACTCACTATTAAAAACACTGTTTGCCTTAAAATTAAACATCACAAAGTCCTACGCGTTCTCCACAATAAGAGATGCCATTTTTAAACAATGCTTATGCACCTGAAAATAAAAAGGAGCGCCGATGCAATGTTAATAATTCTCGCTTTCGTACATTCCTCACACATACCTTGAATTTCTGCTCCTGGGAAAGGTGAATTTGAGCATATTTTTTATTTAGCCTCTATCTCTCGTACACATACGCTGCATACTCTTTATTTTATACGTCACTTTGATAGTGTTACAGGGACTCGACTTGCAATACTCGAACCATGAGCACAAGTCCACCACGTCCAGCTCATCCTGGATCAGAAGGGGCTTCTGCCCAACTGTTTTCTGGTTTCCGTTAATCACGCTAATATACTGGCCCTCTTTTTCTGTCTACTCTGCTATGCTTATTCTCTCTCTCGCTTTTTTTCTCTACTCTACAATAGTCTAATCTCTCTTTCTTTTTCTTTCTATCTCTCTTTTTCTCTACCCTTTTTTCTTTGCCCTACGATACTCTATTTTATCTCTCTCTTTCTTTCTCTCTCTCTCTTCTCCTTTTTCTTTCTCTATCTTTCGCGACTGTGGGTTGGCCAGCTTTTTGAGGTAGTATTTTTTGGCGATTCTCTCCATCCTGATAAGTATTTTTGATGTGTCTCTCCAGGGAGATAAGTTTTCAAAGAAGTGAAAACAGGCAATAGTCATACTTATACTGTAGAAAAAACTTGCCAGTAATGTTGGAAAATTCTACCTAATTAGTCTGTTTTGTGTAGTGGCGAAGCTCCTAAAAACCAAAATGTTATGATAACTGGGTTCATTATATGTTAAAAATTTTTGGTTTGTTTCACAACTTATTTCTTACTCTAAGGTAGGCTGACAGCTGTTTCGTCAATTATGCCATTGTCAAAGGTTCGACATACACTGAAAATATAAGTGGTATAATTAACAATGTATACATGTAAAATTAATGAGGTAAATATTGAAGAACTATTTCTAGTGAACGGTAAGATAAAGAATGTAAATGTAAGAAGCGTCAAATAAAATACAGTCACTAACGGCATTATCTATTACCAGTGGAAGAGATAACTGAGTTGATCGTTAATTATGAATTTGTTTTGTCTCTGCTATTACAATCTCTATTGTTTCTAATAAATCCAACTTTAGGCTTCTAGGTGCACTATGTAACAATTTCATACTGTTTAAATCTGGGAAACGTGCATGTAAGCTTTAATGAAATCAGTCAAGCCCTTATTATTATAAATAGATTTAACATGTTTATCAATACGTGTGGACAGGGAGCACCCTGTTTGTCCTATATACATAGCATTACAATCTGAGCATTCAATTAAATACATTTTTCTCAAAAACGCCAGATGTTTTTTTTTTACTTAGAATCAGAAATAAATTGTGAAACAAAGCAAAAGTTTAAAACTATTAATAAACCCAGTTATTAATAACATTTTGATTTAAAAGTTTCACTCACGTCTAAGCAAGAACTTAGTTGATATAATTCTAAGAAACGTTGTTCTGCACCAGATATTAGAGTAAATCAAGCACTGACATATCTTTGACAGATTCCTGTGAAGCTATATAAGATCGCAGAGCATGAACACTGCTCTACTTAGAATATTAGATGTTACAAAATTAGCAATGAAGAAAGAGGACATGTGACACTGCTTATAGAATTAGACCTGTTGAGTGCCTTTGACCTGGTCGATATCCAGCTTCTGGTCAATAATCTGATCAGTCTTGGCTTCTCAAACTCGGTGGTGACCTGAACTGCATCTTATTTGTTAGGGCGTACGCAGATGATGCAAGCTCCAGATGGCACCCTATTGTAGGCTATTTATCGGAAGGCCAGAGTTCTGCCAGGTAGTTTGCTTAAATTCCTGATCTTCTTGCTGTACAGTAATTAATTGTTGGACACTTTCCGTGACTGCGACTACCACTTTTACGAAGATGACACCTGTTTTCTGATATATGGTGAAGTGGAAGATGCCCCACTCATAACAAATAGAGCAAACAGTATACTGATCAGAGTATCAAAATGGGCTAACTTAAGGTGGTTCGCCAGCAGATTTGTTCGCAGTAGTAGTATCATGGCCTCGCGCTCTCTCTAGCTGCAGTACGCATTAAGCTCTGTGTAACGTCTGCTATATGTAATAGCCTCATCGGTATATCTATATATGGCGTCCATATTTACAATAAAACCATGATCTATCATCTTTCCCGTTGAATATCTAAATAAAATCCACGCTAACCCCCCATTTATTGAGTGTAAGGAAAAAATCTCGTGATCTTAGCGACAAATCTGTTATTTTTATTTTATTGCTGTGAGTGTAACTAAAGTTATTTTTATATGGATTCAGTCGGAATCCATAACCTTTCTATTCTTAACCAGCCTGTAAGTATGATTTTCCTACAGCTTTTTCGCCAAAGTTAACACGCTAAGGGGGTATAAAATTTTGAGAGTAATTACTTTCAGACTTCAATAACAAGCTCTCAAAATTTCATTAAGTTCGTGAGACTTCTTAGTTTACTGGTGAACCACTTCCATCAAATTATAAATCAGGAAATTTAAAATTTAAACTATGTGGATGGCCACCCATGACTTAGAGTGAAGATTAAACAAAAAAAGGCCTCTTTCATCCATTGAGATTAGCGGTACTGTTATAGTAGCGACCGTGACCCTCAGATTACTGGGAGTTGAGCTTGATGGTACTATAACATGGTGTCCACATTTCACGAAGGTCTCTAGAAAATATCACGCCAGCCTGTTGCGACTTTAATGTCTTAAAGAAGGTGTACCGCGAGATACTCGCCTTCTACTAATGCGCTTCCTTGTCTTTCCGCACATTGATCACTGTGCTGCATTTCTCTGCCACTTTTCTGACAAAATGACTACAAGGATCTAAAGATGTGTCAATTCGACACTGAGGGGACTACGAACATTTGATCATATTACGCCCTCCTATCGAATGCACTGCTTGCCTACTCCAGCAGGCTTCCTTATGCCATACTGTGCCTTCTTGAAAATGTTCTGAGGTCAGGTATTTCTGGTTACTTGGCTGAGTGGTTCAAGTTTGAGAAGCCCGATTCACAAATAAACGGCACAAGGAGAGGGACTCTTGTGAGATGGAGATACTACGAACGCGACTCAATGCG